ATATATATATATATATATATATATATATTTATAAAGAATTCTTGTATAAGAAATCTGAAAAAAATAAAAAATTTGAAAAATTACATTAAAAATTCAAAGAAAAATATTTTTATACTATCACTCTGATAAACATTTTTCTCAGAATTTTCAATATAATTTTTCTGAATTTTTATGTAAATTTCAGTAAAAATTCTATAAATTTCTGTAAAGATAATATTTTACAGAATTTTTGAATAGTTTTTAACTTTTTAGGAAATTTTTCATATTTTTTGTTCCACATTACTATATACAATTATGAAAGGAAAATTATGCTTTTTTTTTGCGATAATCTTGATGCTATACGTAAAACTTAACAATATTATGATGTAAATGCTATTGAGAGTGAGCATACTAGTGAAATACATAACAATATCTTCATTATTAATTGTATCATTTTTTTATTAGACTAGTTTAGAATTTTTACATTAAAGTATACGCAATGCAAATCATTGAACATTATCGGCTGGTTGGAGATCAGCTAAGAAGACATTATACTGATCCATAATGCTCGATTCTCTAGATGTATTAGTTTTATCATCATATTGCGAACCGACAGTCCATAAAGTCTCCAAGTCGAAATGTTCTCTAGCAGAACCAGATAAAATATGCAGAGCGATATTTCCTGCAATACAAATAACGCACAATTTTATAAATTCTAATAAATACGAATCTAATACATACGAAAAAAACTCTAATAAATACGAAATTATTTTATAGTTATTAATGTTATTTATGTACTTCAATTTATAATAAATAGTAAGCTTGTGGAGAGTTTATAATATTTAACATATAGTGATCATATAGAATGATAGACTGTCTTTAAATATTTTTCAACATTTTGATGAGAATCTAGAAACAAGATAAAAATAATTATATTATATATTGTGTAAATATATAATATAATGATTTTTTACATTTTTTATTCTAATTCTAGATTATCTTATTTTTACATTTCTAAAACAAATGTTGAAAAATGATTAAAGATATTTGTGTAAATTTATACAAATACTATATAATTATATACTTGTGTATAATTATATAATATATATAATTTTATTATTCATTGACTAGCTTTTGGCAACCATTACATAAGAATTGTAACCTATTAAAACATAAAATATAATTTTCTAATTCAAAGAATATATTACCTAAATCCAAGGCCATCCAATCCTTTGATTTCTCCCCCTCGATTTTAGGTATCAACTCATTTTGATATCTTTTCAGTTTGTAAACCTTGCGTAT